TGTGCTGCGCTATCTCCACAGCCAACATAGGTACAATGGAAGTAGGAAGCTTCCTCTATAGTCATTTTTTTTTACCGACGTAGCCGGGTATGTATGGCAGGCACATCACGCGGCGGACATCCATCGGAACCGTATGAGCGCTACGACGCTAGGAATTACACTGTACAAGATTACACCATACTGCTACTACCAAACCATACGGCCTGTCGCTAATCAAGGCGAGACGTTCGAGGTAGTCCAGAAGCTCGCTATTTATGCACCTCTCATCACCTTACTTACTTTAGATCCTTTTTTTGGGAATGGTCGGCAAATTTACAGTTTTCTGGATTCATAAGATATCTGGAAGAGACGCGGCAAGCTCCGCTGCACACCTCTCCAGTACAATCAAGTCCGGATCAGAAGCTTTGTTGAGGGGCGTCCATGGTGGAGTTGGCAGCAAAGATCTTGGCAAGCACTTCAGCCTTGGCCTTCGACTCAGTTACAATCGTTCCATCCTGACACGTAAGTGGTGGAAGGCTACTGTGTGAGAAGTTCTTTTCAATCTGCTTGGCCAGCGTCCGGAAAGACAGACTGCCATTTGGCTGTGACATTACCATGCCAAATCACACATATCTTTCATCATTTTCAAAGAAATTGTACAAAATCTTCAAATTTGTGAAGTTAGCGAGTTTCACTTCATACGTTGTTACCAGCCATGCCCAAATCACAAATTAGTAATTGCATTATGCATCACGGAGATGTAGGGATTGATACGACTTACATATATTGTCTGTGTTTTAGGATGGAGAGGACATAATGTTTTTATTGCTTTGAAGAAATTCATTAACCGGTAAATTAATAAATGGTTACTGTTATGTTGTAAAGGAAAATGAGGGACTGGTTGGAATGTATTTTATATTCTATTTTCTTGCAAAATACAAATCCCACTATTCAACAGGTATGTAGCTATAATGATAACATATAAACACTCAGTATATTGAACTTAACAAATTCGAGATTGCCATGCATTAACAAACGTCCAAAACTCAAAATTTCGCCAAATAGCTGAGATATCCCACCTTAATGTTAATAATGTATTGAAGCTCTTATGTTGATTGGATTAGGTGAATGATGAATTTAGAAAGTTTTCTCAATTATAATTCTTCTTCGCCAGGGTGTGGCGTAGGAATTAAAATGAAAAGCAGATTTCTAGTTTTCTCGGACTAGACAATCAGCGTTGACTTTTGCTGTTGATGAAATAAATCATCGGTGTGTCTAATTTGGTGGTAATTTTTCACGCTTATCGCTTGTTCCATTGTGTCGACGAAACGTAATTAGGCAGAAAATGATAGCGACAAAGCCGACAAAAGGTGATACGACAGCCACGCTGAAGATGTTTTCCTACTGTTGGGGGGGATACCATTTGTGATATCTTCGTGGCGGAATTTCCGATTATTAGGAACAATTATAAGTTTGACTTTTGCGTTGTGTACAACACAAAAAATAAAAAAAAACGAACCCACATTTACCCCCTCCTTACTTAGGATTTGGAATCTCCGTATTCGATTTGCAACGAGTCTTGAAAGACATCTCAAATTACTTTGCATTTTCATTTCAAACCTTCGACTATGATCCTTAAATGTACTATCCACTTAGTCTAACCTTTAATTTGTGTTACTCGATCTACTACAGTTCTCTGAATATTTCGTCAAGTAGACTGACTCAGTCCTTATGACGCATTGATATACAATAGCCACCGACTGACAAACTAACACAAACGAGACACACGGATTTGTGTGATGCAGATAGCTTTGTGCAACAGAAAACTTGTAGAAGAAGATGCTGATCTCAGTGATACTATACACCTGTGAGATATAATAAGTTACACATATTTCCCTACATCTGCCATGGATACAGAAATATGATGGAGTTGCTACATAGAGGTCGAAGATTTATCGTACCTAACTGAACCTACCTAATCACAATCCACTTCTGCCTTTTGAAACGATTTGATTCATCCCTTCTATTTGAAACCTCTAACGCAGGCGCAGGAGGTATAGAGCAATCTACTGGACGTCATTTTTTTCATTAAAACAGTCCACATACAAAAATGCTCCAAGAAAGATTTAACTTACTGTCTTACGTTCTGTGTAATCTTTAACTTGGGATATGTATATAGGTCTATGTTAGATTTACGATAAGGCTTCCCATTATTCTTGCAGAAGATATCGACGAGTAACAATAGCTGTTCGTAAGCGTCAACATGGAAGTCGTTAATATAAATCGATTGCACATCGAGTATTCGGCGGTTGTGGTGGCTATGCGGCTTTTTCACATACACTTTATGAATACTAAAATATGAAATCCAGTGGCCGTACCAAGAAACTATCACCCTTCATATTTATGACACATTGCCTTATGTTGATCATTATCTAGAATCTCCGAAAATGAACTATGATTAACTTGCTTGATGTTTGAAATAAATGCTGATATCGATAAATTGAATATTAGAAAATTAACCTCCAAACTTCGATTAATAAGTAGCAACTAGCGATATGAAAATGAATGTTATTCTTTTTGCCCTGTGCGTCATTTCCTATCGATTTACTGGTTTCGCATGAAAATAAAGGTTGATGGTATGTCATCGAACAGCGAAGTTCCTTAACTATGCATTCTGTGTCGCAAGCAATTCAGATCGTGGAAAATCAATATTTACTCAAAGAGAAACTCGACGGTAAAAGCTAGTGTCGCACATTAAAGTTTTAGCACCTATTGTGCTTAAACGATAAAAATTGTATTCGCTGCTTGCAGTTGCGTTCAATCGATAATAGATTGTCAGTTGTTTTAGTAATAGTGGTCGTCATCGATAACGAAAAACAACCTTCCTGGAACCAGACTATTTATAAATTACCTGTGTTTTCATGATAAATTTTAAGCTGGAAATCCCGGTTCCAACTACGCTAGTGAAAATTAATAAAAAAATAAGAACTGCAAAGTTCACTTGTTTCTCTTAAGCTCTATTATCTTTTAACATTATTTTGATATGTTTATCATTGTAACATAAATATTTCAAACACCTGAAGTATTTTTGAAATGTTTATTTATTTATTTGCTTAAAGTCTCACAAAACACCCTAGAGTAATTAGAATGCAAGACAACTTAAAAATAGAGTAAAACGACGCGAGGCAACAATGAAATATAACTTTTAAATGAGCCAAGACTAGAACTGGAAAACTAAAATTAAAAAAAAGTTATCACATTTATGATACTAAGATACAAATCAGTTTCAATAAAATTCATCACAGGTAAAACAATATAAAATAATAAAACAATAAAACAACCACCAATAGCTGCTTAGACTAAGACCTAGTGAGATCTGTTAATGACAATAAGTTTTTAAGTAAATTCACGTCTGTATTACAAAAGTCAATATCAGTTTTTTTAAATAGCTCATTGCAAAGCATTAACATATGAATCATGGGATTGTCCAGAGGGTACTTAATATTAAAAAAATTATCTCTCTTGTACCTAAGAATCGCCTTGGGAAAAACAATAGCTACAAAATTCAGAAGATTACATTCATGAAATTTAATATTATTTATTAAGTAGGTAGTATATAAAAATAATAGACTGCTGTATCCTGCGACAGGTAAGCTTATGGAATTGATACGAGTCAAGCATACTTCGATAAGAAACCATATATGGATAGATTTTCTTGTCTCTAACATAAATGGATTTAAGAAATCTCTATTGTATGCGCTCAATACGCTCACTATGACAACCAGCCAGTGGAGACCAAATCACTGAGGCATAACTCCAGGTGAGGCCTTACTAAGGCATTGTACGTATACAATTTAATTAGAGTGGCAATATTCAGACTGGTAGAGTTCCGTATGATAAATCCTAGTTTTTTAAGTGCTTTGTTAACAATAAAATCATAATGTGTAGTAAACTTCAAATCGGACTGCATGTAAACCCCCAGGTCCTTAATCTCCTTGCACCTCTTTGTGGTTGGACAAGGAATAGTTGAAGATAAGAGGGCTTGCTTTTCTAGCATATGTTATAGTGAAGCACTTCTCAAGATTAAGAAACATATTGTTATCAACAAACCAGTTACATATCGAGTTGAGGTCTTCTTGTAGTTTGATACAGTCAGCCAATGAGGATATCTGCTTGAATATTTTAAAATCGTCTGCAAAGATTAAACAAAATGAGTTTTTAATACATTTAGGCAAAGTGTTGATAAAAATTAGAAAGAGAAGGGACCCAACCGTGCTTCCTTGAAGCACGCCAGAGGTTGCCGAGTAAGGTCTGGAAAGCACATTACTAACTTTTACCTGGTGTGTCCGACCTGAAAGATAAGTGAAAAAGAAATTGCAGGCTTGCTTAGAAAATCCGTATCCACTTAATCGGTCTAAGAGTAGGTAATGGTCAACGAGATCAAAAGCCTTAGTACAATCAGTGTGCACTGTATCAAGCTGGCAGTGGTCACCAATCGCCTCAAATGCATGGTTTGCAAAGCAGGCTAGGTTAGAGACAGTAGACTTTCCCTCACAAAAGCCATGTTGTTCATCTGCTATGCCATCCCGTACATTGTCAAACAGATCTTCATAGAGAATAATTTCAAATAATTTTGCCAAAGAATTCAAGAGACAAATTGGCCTATAGTTTGGAATATTGTTGACACAACCACCCTTGAAGACTGGTGTTATAATTGATTTTCGAAGTCTAGCCGGGAAATAGTTGCTTCTGATAGATAGATTATATAATAGGGCAATAGGATTGGCAAGGAATTCAGAGCATCCCTTATAGATATAAGAAGGGATGTTGTCAGGGCCAGTGCACTTCTTAGATTTGAGTTTCATAATACACCTTATAACTGTTTCCTCACTGACTTCCCTCAGGTTTATGTTGCCAAACTGAAAGTGACAATCATTAAGGTCTATTAATGAAGAGGGGTTAAAAACTGACTCAAAAAAATTAGCAAACCCACCGGCAATGTCTTTAGGTCCATGGAAGTCTTAACCGTTAAACTGCATTACCTTAGGTATACCTGAAGCCTGTTTGGACTTAAAGAAGTTCCAGAAACACTGAGGATCCTCATTGAGGTTACGCTCAATGTTAGACTTGTGCTGGGAATATTCAAATTTAGTTTGATGTTTTATTCTGCTACGAATCTCACCATACTCAATCATTTGGTCCCCACAGGCCTTCCCACCCTTGATGAGAGTGTGAAGATGGTTTTTCCGATAAACTTTTTTAATAAGATCATGCGAAAACCATACTGGGAAAGTACGAGGTTTATTGGATAGATTAATTTCTTTTTTAGGAACACATTGGTCTATGCAATGATATAGTTGCTCATAAAAGGAATCAAGACAAGTGTCAACATCAGATATGTCATGGAGACTGGACCAGTCTATATTCCTAATCATTTCATATAAGAGCAAAAAATTTGCCTTGCTGTATTCATATGTAAAACAAGATTGAATTCTATCTTGAACAATACTATTGTCAAAAGGGCAATTAATAAGAAGGGATAGATGATAGGGATCCTCAGGTACAAGTGGCCTCTGTTCCCTCTGGACGTTAATATTGAAGTCTGCCAATACTAAATCAAGCTTACTGTTTCTTCTAATATTTAAAATTTCATTAAACTGCTGTAAATTGTAGAAAGTTGAGAAATCAAGCAGGGCCTGAGCCTTCTCAGAACTATTACTATTGGGGACAGGTATTTTGAAATCACCTGTAATCAAAATATTTGTATTATTGTTATTGTAGGTTTCAAAAAAATCATAGAATTCATGTTAGTCTGCCACAGGACTATTAGGTGGGAAGTACACAACTGACACTAAGAGATCCACATTCCTAACCTGATTTTAACCAACAAACATTCAAGTTTAGATTCAGTCTTAATAAGTTCAAAATTAAAATGATTCTTAATAGCTAAAAATAATCCACCTCCCCAAGTAGATGTAGCTCGATCATTCCTCAGGACAGCATACCTATCATCAACCAGTTCACCATCAAAAATTTCATCATTCAGCCAGGATTCTGTCACTGCAATTACATCATAGTCCTCCAGGAGTACATTCAAATAGAATTCCTCAGTTTTGGTCCTCAAGCCTCTTGTGTTTTGGTAATAGAGTCTCAGGTATTTCCTATTTGCTGAACCATGGGGAAGGTCTTGATATGGCTCCCATATATGAGTTTTTCAAGCTTTCTGAGGATCCATCCCTACTGTTGTCTGGGATGGCGCCCTCCTCTGTACAAAAAAAATGAGACACAACTGCTCCCGCTGGCCAAATTTCACTTTTCCAGGCTTCCTTAAACTGGTCTTGTTGAATAGTCACTTTCATGGAGGCATACGAGTCAGGATGTTTCGAAGTATGTTGCTCACATAATACTCCAGGAAAAATCGGCTCCAGGACTGCTTTCAGGACTTCAGGTGTCGTGTTAGGTTTGAGCCTTGTTACATGGAGCGATGTAAGCTTAGGAATCGCCTTAGCTGATCGCTCTCCCACATTTTTCCCTACTAGAAATCTGCGCTGTTTGCGGATTGGTTTGACAGTTTGAAAATCACTACCAACATTTAGGCCCGTATCGTCAGTCGTCCCTACAATTTATTGTAGGGCGCGTTTATGGCCTCCTTGATTGTCATAGTTTTCTACTTCTCCGTGTCAGAACTCTATTTTGAGGTCATGTCACAAACATCTATTTGCATCAAATTGTGCTTGCTTTTGAGTTATATCATGTTTTATCAGCCTGAAATTTCCTACAATTTAAAAAGAAAACATATCTTCACAACAGGAGCGCGCTGACACGGCACAAGTGTAATCTAGAAATTTTTGAAGGAGAAAGAAGTATGACAATCAAGGAGGCCATAAACGCGCCCTACAATTGTAGGGACGACTGACGATACGGGCCTAAGTTCTTGAATATTCTGCATTTTGATTGCTGCTTGGGCATATGAAACTGCTACATTGGACTTGGTTCGAATTTATCACATTAAGGGAGCTTTGACAATCCGACACAGTCAACGGCGATGACGCACATGACATTTGACCAGAATTGCTGCCAATCGCCTGGTTAGACAATTTAGTAGTTCTCGTCCGCGGCCGTAGAACCAAGTCACTAAGCCGGAAGATGCGAGGTTGCCAGAGCTAGCCGGATTGCTTGACATATTGTTAATTTTAGTTGTTGGAACAATATTTTCAAGAAAAGCAATTTTCTCTCGAAGTAGCACAGCATTTTCCTCCAGAACACGATTCTTGCTCTGCAGCTCACTCACCAGGACACGTAAAAGCAAGATCTCAGGATCCGCGTCTTTTGAGGTTAGGTCCACAGACTCATCAATTTCATGGACACATGAAGGATTTTTCGCTGCCGCCGCCTGTCGCAAGCACGCAGGATGGAAGAGCGCCACACAATGCTTGCACTGGACACTACTTTTTACCGTTTTGCTGCAATGAACACAATATTTTTCAACTTTATAGGCACCAGAATTAGGACGTGCGTCGCCTGCCATGATTGCCAAATTTGCCCTCATTGCCTATCATTGTAACATAAATATTTCAAACACCTAAAGTATTTTTGAAATGTTATACAAAATGGTAACGTTGTCGAAATAAGACTAGTGCAAAGTGACATATGTTATTTCGATAGACCTTATACTCTAGATAGAGTAAATTTGCCCAGATTTCATTCTTTGTTCTACCTGAGACGAAGCCTACACCTTCCTAAAGGGGTTGCCAAATACCACGAAACAGTTGCCTATCGTTGACGTCTGTGGTGGAACGAACGAAAGCTATGGTACTAGTTTGGTGACGTTAAGTTTTGGTCACAAGTGATGAATAATTCAACCTGCATAAGGTTAGGTAAAGGATGTGAAGATACCAATTAAGTTCTCCCTAAGATAGTTCGAACTAATGACATTCATAACGTTATGATATAGCACCTGTTTTGATTAAGTTAGACAATACGCAATAATAATAATTAATATTCTTTTTATTTATTAACTCCGTGCATGACATAACATAAAATTAATCAACACATACTGTAAGCCGCGATATGAACCATAAAGTTATTTAAATAATGTACGCGGCAATAAAACTCTCATACATCATGCAGATATTCAATATTACGAGCTGCCAAACATTTTCATTCAGGGGGTATTTTTAGAGCAGTATAATATTGTAAACGGGAGCAGAGAAACATAGGTCTTGAAAACTTAACTCGCGACATGATATTTATACAGTGTGTTTAATAAAAAGGCAAATATAATTCACGAGTAACTTTAGATAGCATTTCCGCGTCATTTTACTTCCTACGCTACTGGTGAGGGAGTATTATAATCGCGGAAAATTTTGAAAATGGAAGTATTTGTTTTTTGATGTTATATGACTGAAAACTATGTCAACCATTTCTGTCGTATTGATAGGTACCGGATTGTGATGCAATTTTTGCACAAGGTTACTACTAAGCCAATGACGAAAAATGATTAGTGTTTTTTAAAATCGGTCCAATGGCGGGCGGCGTAGCTAAAGGCAAAAAAGCAAAAACAGAAAAATCTCTCAAATTTCTTTTTTTTTTTGTCGATTTACAGGATGCTAATTATTTTTGTCAAAAATGGGGGACGGGGGGTTGTAGGGAGTGTTAGGGTATATCTTAATTTGTGTGCCTGCAGGAATTTTTCTCAGACCTAGAGACAACTTGTGCCGAACATAATCCTTTACTAACAGCTTGCTAGATCTGTGACTCATCAAGGGTTAATAGTGCGATCAATAGAGGGCATCTAAAAGGTTAAAGCTCTGTACCTATAAATAATAGTTTAAAGAAACTAAAAAACACGCTTTTATAGCTGACCGAACTAAAAAAAAGAAACTAATTTTAATTACAAAGTGTTTATATTACAGTAAAAGATTGTCGAACAATCAATCATAATTAATGACCTCAAAATAAAATTATAATAAAATTTAAGTTATTAACAGAATTCAATTCAGAGCAAAAAGCGTGGGGTGCTTGAGATATTAAATGTTACAATAATTCTATTGGCAACTATCTATGAGAGGAGAGTTATGAAAATGTAGTAAAATGCATCCCACGCTTTTTGCTCTAAATTGAATTATTCTGTTAATAACTTGAATTTTATTTTAAGGTCATTAATTATGATTGATTGTTCTACCATCTACAACTATAATATAAACTCTTAGTAATTAAAAATTATTTTCTACTTTTTAGTTCGGTTAGCTATAAAACCGTGTTGTTTTTTATTTTTTTAAACTATCATTTATTTTTCATTTTTTAGTTCGATTTATCAATTAGTTTTTTGTGGACATGTAATATTGAATTGTCTTACGAATCATTTCGTAATCTAATCATTTAATTTAAAGCTTCAATCCGAATACCGTCTAAAGATCTTACACGACTAAGTACTACATAAGCTTGTCCAGCAGCAAACAGTCGCCAGCCTAGATAAATGACTCCATGATCGACTGTACAACCTTGCATCTTGTGGACGGTCGAAGCCCAACTCAGGATTAATGGCAACAATCGCAATGAACACGGTGAAAATGCACTACCTTGAAAAAGTATCTGCCTCCGTTGTGCAGTGCCGATGCTCAAAGATTCCGTTACATACATACATACATACATACATACATACAGGCCAAGCTAATTAAAGCAAGTTAATAAAAAACGAAATGTGAACACAAAATACGACGTGTCTGGCAATTAGCATGAAAGACGCATTTAGCGTCATAGAAACCAGGAAACGGAAAATCGGCAATGGAAAAAGTTGAAAAGCCAGGAAGCGGCGCGACAGGTCGTAATCTATACCGTCCAATCGTTGCAGCTTGAATTATTTATTAGTTGCTATTTGCGCGATTTATGATCAGCATTCGATGTCGATCTAACCAACTAATACAATTCTGCTTTTTACAAACTCTAGTGAGCTTAATACGTAAAATGTCAGTAACAGCTTTGGGTGTAAGAATAAATCATACACCATTGATGTTAGGTAGTCATCATCTGAAATTGAGTGATTCAGAGTTGCAATTTTATAAATCATCAAAAACCAATTATTTAAGAAGGCGTCGTTTTGACCTTATTGAGGCTTGTCAGTACGACGTATGTTTCAGAAAAACAATGAAATTACATGCAAGGCTCTCTGCTATTTACAGTGAACAGCTGTTCAATTATATTTTGGTTTAGTACTCATAGATGACACTAGTAATTTGGTACCTACCCATTGCCGGCATTTATATTAGGTATAAATTATATGTACGTAATTTATAGAAACTGAAAAATGAAGGGTTATAATGAGTGATGGTGTCGGAGGATTGTTTTCGAAAGACAAAACGCTGAATCACGGCGGATCGACAGCTAAATCGATGTAGAACGCGTGTGCCAGACGTTCCTTCTCATAATAACAAGCTGAGGTGGGGTCAGCTTAGCAGATGGCTGACGGCTGGCCATAACCACCACAGTCAATGCGCCTAGCTAAGGATGGGGTAGAGGAAGGTAATTACCCTCCCCAGACCCATGGCTGATGCTGATTCCAAAAAGCAATTATTTATTGGAGAGTGAATTTTTGTTTTGGCTGTTATAGACCGGGAGCTGTGGGCAAAAATGGGGGGGTCATGTGATACAGCAGGAAACCTACTCAAAACGATAGTACTACATGAAAAAGTAACTTCTAGCACTATGCCGTCACTTGAGAGCGGTACATGTAAGTACAGGGGAAAATTGAATTTTCTGTCCAGAAGGGATGGGAAAAGACTAAATGATTTTTTACGGCTTTCTTTAGTATCACAGATGCCAACAAAATAATCACGATGCACTTAGTGCCGTACGGAAATAATGGTGCCGAAAGCAATAAAATTTTTTTAATTTTCAGGAAATTTTCTATTCGGAAAAATTAATTAATTAACGTACGGCATTGTTCCAGTTACCTTTCTGTAATTTTTTACATTTAAAATTTACCAACGCCGTACATATCTGCTGGTACAGGGGTGAGAAAACTTGGGTCATAATAGCCTTTTGACTAACTTTCTCTATATGCGTATCCCATTTGCAGTTTTGCGATATGTGTATTCCTAAAAATTTTATAGTTTCTGCTTGTTCCATGGATCTACCGCTTGATTTTATAAGGAGACTACGATCCATGTGCATATTAGAGTAGTTAAATCTCAGGAACACTGTCTTTTTGTGGTTTAAGACCAGGCCGTTATTAATGAACCATTGCTCTGCACCAGCTAAGCTTGTGTTGGCATTTCTTATCACTGACTCCAGGTTTTTGCCGTTAATAAGTAATGAGGTATCATCAGCATACATTACCGAGGATTTGGCTGGAAAGTCATTGACATATATTATGTATAGGAGGGGACCAAGTATGGAACCCTGTGGAACCCCTGTGCAGTCATCAAATCAAGTTGGAAAATAATATGAAGGAGGCTTTTTTTACCGATATTTTGTGGAGAATGCGCTACCTCTCCCAGGCTCCCATGCCACAGCTCACTATTGTAACAGTAGCAGCCAGCAGCTGTGAAAGATCCCTTTCTCATGTTGGTTGGGGTCGGCCGATGATTGGTGCGATTTCGGAAACACTCGACGGGCAAAAAATCCCGGCACCACCTGTCCAACGTGTGTTCATTGCCACTCAAAATGTGTTTGTTGAATTTCATATTTCCCCCGTCTACTAATCAAAGTGCCAAATAGATACACTCACATTGTTTCCTTACACATGACGGCAACTATACTCAGTGACAGAAGTGTTACATTCAGAAAAAATAATTTCTTCAACTTATTTTTTTTTGACAACATACTGACTATATTTAAAGCGTGCTGTGGCAACAATGTCAACGTTTTATCTTTTTTTTTGTTTACCTTTGTTAAAATGTTCGTTCTTAGTTTTTGCGAAGAAAGCATTTTCTGAGAGCTGAGCAGTACAGATATTTTTAGTTATTGACCTTTTATTTACTAGTGTTAAGCATAACAAAATGCCTCGAGTTCAAAGACATCCAAATTGTTATCATTATTATTATTGTATATCAATGACGGTAATGCCTGTGTGCCCTGTGTGGATAGTAGAAGGTAGAGGAGCACGAAGAAGGCCAACCGGTCCACCGAGGCCGTGCCACCAGAGCGTCAAGATAGGCACTTTAATCAACTAGCCCCCCGAGACAGTTTTGTTACTACGCGTCAGAACGCTGACCAATGGTTTGGAGAAGAAGGTAGACCTGTTACTAAGCGTACACTCTATCGCCGCATTCGAGCCTTTGGACTTTTTTATACCGTCCACGTTTAGTGCTGCCTCTGGCTGCGGACCAATGTCGTCAACGTTTGAACTGGAGCAGAGAATGGCAATATTGGGAGGCAGAATGGCATAATGTCATCTTCAGCGACGAATCACGATTCTGTGCTACAACCAGACATCGATCATCTCATTTCGTCGATGCCTAGACGTATACAGGAGTGTGTTCAGGTGCAGGGTCGCCCAACCCATTATTAACCCTTAAACGACAACATGGGGTAAGTCGTGACCGAGCCGAATAATATGCAAGTCATATTTCTTACAAATATTCTGCTGCAGCCGTGTCCCTCCACCAACCTTTCAAGCTTGGTCATTAGTATTATCACAGAAAGCCATGAGTGCGGTCGACAATTATTATCCGATTTATAGGTTATTGGGGTCGCCCGCGACCCATGTTGTTATTTGAGGAATAAAAAACCATGTCTGCGCATAACAGATATTTAAGTGACAAAGATCTCGAAGAGATTGTAAGACGATACGAAAGAGAAGAAGAGGACAGCGACTATACTAATAATGACTTGGGTGATAGTGGAAGTGAAGCTGAAGATCATGAGGAGGAAGAAGTGGAGGCGGACGAAATAGTGAGCCTACTAAAGAAGAGTCATCCGACGATGAGATACCGTTAGCAGATCTACAAAGAAAAGTGACTTATGGGAAAAATGGTTACAAATGGAACTCGAAACCTTTTCATGCAAAAAATTCACGAGCAATGAAGAAAAATTTGGTTCTGCACCTTCCTGGGCCTAAACGCACGTACTGCGAAAACTGAATATGAAGTGCGGAAATTATTTTTTGATGAGAACATCATGCATACAATTGCTGCTCATACAAATGAAGAATTAAGCAGAAATCACACACAGCTTTCAATATCACAATGATATACAGGACAGACCGATAAAACGGAATTAGAAGCTTTTTTTGATTTATTATACATAAGTCGTCTATTGAAGAATATTCATGTTAACCTAGAGAAGCTGTGGTCTAAAATGTGCTGTGAATTCTTGTATGATCTACCAAGCCAATAAATCTAACACTACGAAAATACCGCGACGAATGTTCCTAATGCAGCTGGGTGAAGAGCTTGCCAAAGAACACATGAAGAGGATTCTTGATATAACAAATTTATCATGTAATCTAAGGTAACAGAATGAAAAAGCTGCTTATCGATATAATATTGTTTGTTTTGTTTCAGGCAGCAGATTTTAGAGGTGTTGGATATAGCAGAAACGGATATTGTAAACCAGGTACCACCTATACTGGAAACCAAAGAAGACAAACGCTGCTCCATATGTACCAGAACTGTAGACAAAAAAGGCAGAGATAACTGTGTAACATGCAAGCGTTCATTTTGTATTTAAAAATGTTGTATTCCTTTTTTCTCTGACTAAAACTAATTAAAATATGCCTGACTTTGTTTTTTTATTGAGAAATATCATCAATAACAGTAATCCTGCTTGGGGTCATATGCGACCCCATGTTGTCATTCGTGTATGAATATTTTCATGTTGTCATTTAAGGGTAAATGTTTTTTCTTATTACTGGTCCATAGAATTTCGTGAGATGTTATCGTTTCACTCTTGATGTAAGACTACCTCATTGCCAAAAAATCAAGTTGAAGATTTGAATTATTTTCTGGGTGAAACACTTCTAATGCCACTGAGTATATATCAACTTCAGTTTAGTTATTTAATTTTATGTATGGTGCAGAGCCATTAAAACGTTGTTAGAAAAATGGAAGGTAATGTTCAAACATTCAACGTCATTCTGCGGATTGATTCAGGCATAGATGAACTGATACTCACAGCCACTTGTAAGAGAACGCGTCAAAAGCAACTGGGATGTGTAGGAAATTATGTGTCATCCCGCCGCTATTCAAAAAACGCATTACCCAGTAAAAGCTCGATATAATCGATTACCGCCAAATTTGATGGATTGGGACGACATTTGCATTGCAATGCAAACTTTAAAGACAAGCTAATCTACAGACTGTGCTCAGGTTTTCTATAAACTCACAGTAATCGGAATGATTACTTGAAAATAATCGTAGTCAGGGTAGCCATATTGACGGATTTTAAATGACCCTTGGAGAATTTTTGAAGGATGCCATTTTCTGGGGGAGTTTTTTTTTTTAGGAAAATAAAATCGTTTGATATTTTTGGTGTATTTTATTCCTTCTTCAACTTCGGAAAACTATCCACTGAAAAATAACTATTTTATCTTTGGGGCCGTTGAAGTATTACGTGAGCACTATGGGGGGGGGGGCGAGGGGATCTTTGCTTTGCTTATTTTGGATGACATAGGGGGTAGGGGAGTCTAGATGATGATTACGTCATCGGTAGTTATTTACTTTTTTACACGAATGACAACCCTCACATTGTCTTTGCTTGAAAACGAAACGCATTTTCGGAGATTCCTGCAAATAATGCATACGTTTAGTGAACAGCGCGCGGTAATTCCCCTACTTGCTTTAGAACCGAGTAGGGGAATTACCGCACGGTGTTCACTTATCTAAATTTCCTCTAACAGTGTATTGTTTCGTTTGGATACTATAGCGAGTAGACGTATTGTAAGCATAGTAAAGCAAGTTAACATTTGTGTTACCATTGATTCCATTAGCCAAAGTTTAATGTTTAAATAAGATGTCGTTTCACATAGACAAATCCAAGTTATACCAAAAATTCTTTGAAAGTTTTAAAAAATCTCATACAAGTACGAAAGTACAAAATGTACAAAAGTTAGTTAACGAAGTGTGGCGAAATTACAAATTACAAGCAAAATCCGACAAGGAACTAGATATTATTGTATCTAAGAGAATCGAAGAAGAATTGCAAGCGGCGACTAAGAATAAATCCAATCTACTAAATTTTGTTTCTAAGGTGAGTGACGAAATCATTTTAGGTACCTATGAGTACTAGAAATATTAGAAATCGCCAAAAAGTTTCTCTTTACTGATTAGAAAATATTATGACCTATCTCAAAGTATAGAGGTAATATTCATTATATTATAGATTTATGTCTTATGATTGATTCCGTCAATTGGTCACAAAGTACAGGATGTTAGTTTTATACATGTATACATAAAACTAACACCCTGTATTTACGGATTGCTCGTTTAAACATACTAGATGTAAAGTCGTAGGGTTTTGTATTTACCATATATGTATATTGCCATACTTTGTATTTATGTAGCTTAATAAGAGAATCTTTAGCAGAAGCCATAGAAAATTTTTATTTTAGGTAACCTGTAAACCTGCAGAAAAACACAAATTATACAGTCAGCTTCGAATATTAAAAAAGAGGAAGAAGATAAAATAAAACCCAGCAATGAATCACAACAGCAATGCGAAATTGATGAAAATACAGATAAACAGAGAGCAAAACCTTCTCAGGAAGCTATGAAAAATAAGATTGCTCTACTCGAAAAAAATCTGGATGCTTTGTATTCTGCCAAAGATACTATACCAAGCCATGCTGAAGTTGATAAACAGATCATTAAGTTGCGCGAGGAAATAAAAACAGCAAAACAGTCTTTAAACAGGAAGGTTCGAAACGCAGTTGCCCAGAAGAAACACAGGGATGGTATGAAAAGAAAGTTAGAAGATATTTATTTGTCATGAAAATCCAGAAATAAAAAAATACTATCTCTGAGGGATTCAGTGGGACGTCCTAATCTTGAAAGCAATAAACATTCACTATTAAAACAATCGTGGATATAGCTTTATTTGAGAGTGCAGCAGATGATAGAAGACGAACGGAATCAATTCGCAGCGTAAAAAATCTTGATGAACTCACACAAGAATTACGTAAAATAGGATTTGACATTAGTCGCAGTAGAACATATCTTCGTTTGATTCCCAGAAAATCTAATTCTGCAGAGGAACGAAGACATGTATCGACAGTCCCTGTTAAGCTCATTCGAACTCAAACTGATCACCACAAAAGCCACTTAGATAGCAAGTTCGCTGAAACATCAATCTATTATTTAGAGAACATAGCATCCATACTTGGACCAGATCAAGTATTTTTCATATCTCAAGATGATAAAGCTCGAGTCCCTATTGGCGTAACTGCGGCAAATAATCAAGCACCTCTTCTAATGCACATGGAATATAGAATCAAATTACCTGATCACGATTGGGTAATCGTTGAGCGTCATAAATGAATACCATCTGTTTATGCTGGTATCAAAATCACTTCTAATATGCTAGGACAACCGCAAGCCGTGGGATATTCTGGACCAACACACATCGCTATTCGAAGTGGAAAGCACAGTTCATCTACTGCTAATACTCATGCTCAGGATTTCGTGACGCTTCTCGAACTTGAAGAGTTTCGACCATTAGCTAAATCTGACCATGGACTAGTAAAACCAGTGGTAATCATGAGGGTTGATGGAGGGCCAGATGAAAATCCACGTTATCAAAAAGTCATAGGGTTTGCTATACAACACTTTAAACGACATGATCTCGATGCATTGTTTTTAGCTACCAATGCTCCTGGAAGAAGTGCGTATAACAGAGTAGAGCGCAGAACGGCTCCTCTTAGTCGGGAACTGGCTGGTTTAATATTGCCTCATGACCAGTTTGGGTCTGATTTGGATGAACGTGGCGTTACAATTGAAGAACATTTAGAAAGATCTAATTTCGAATTTGCAGGAAATGTATTAGTTGAAGTATGGAGTTCAATGGAAATTGATGGCTATAATGTTAATGCAAAATATGTTGGGGCAGGTGAACAAGATCTTCCTGATTTTCCAGACATTAAATGGTATTCAGAACATGTGCGTGAGAGCCAATACTTGCTTCAAATTGTAAAATGTAGAAATACAGAATGCTGTCGTCCAAGAAGTGACCTATTTAGATTACTAGACAACAGGTTTCTTCCACCACCTGTAAAATTAAAACAAACAGTTGATGACTTGGTTTTGGATGAAGGAGGGCAATTTTTTAATCTTCTAGTCAATTTAGCTCTACGCTTAAGTGCTTCACTCAAAGATTTCCTGCAAATGGCCTACGATTATTTTTGCCCGACGGTAAAATTGAGGCTATCAAGTCGAACATGCAAAACGTGTGGTCTTTATCATGCTTCCGTCAAGTCACTAAATCGTCACATCGAAGATATCCATAAAAAAGTAAACACGCACACTGATAGAAAAGTTAGACCTGTAAGAGTCGCTGCTCGTCGTGCTAATGAACTGATGTGCATTATTCAAAATTTAGAGCACCATGATGTTGAATGGCTCGATGAGAACGACGTAGACATTCCAAAATCCGATGAAATCGAGCAAACTCACAACACTGAGCAGCAATCGAAGCAATCCAATGTCATCGAAAACTTAGAATCATGGATTCGGGTTTCATGGACTGAAGACTGTTAATTTGAATTTAATATATGTACAAAAAATTTAAAATAAGTTTGTTATGTTAGTAAGATATAATATTTTTGTCCTTTACTCTATGTTGAATACCGTATCAGTAAACTATAATCTCTATCCTAAATCTATTTTCTTATTTTTCAAATTATAATTATAACGTAATTATAATATTAAAAAAGCAATACATTAATTGACAAATGTTTACGTAAGCATGGGGGAGGGGGTAAGAGCAGAATAATAAGTAGTAAATAG